CCAACTGGAGAATGATCCACGTGTCGACGATAATGTAACAGGATATTTTTTGATACTTTACCAGCGTCTTTCCCGCAATGATCGCACTGATCATTAACCTGGATGGAACTCGTCGTATTCGGTACATTGAAATCATGCCGTGTTCGCATACTCGTTATCGATGAATAGACAAAGAGGAAAGGGGCAATCATGCTCTATGCATAGACATTCGTCTAGAAAAGATTTCTCTGGAACATGCGTTTTTCTTTCATTTTTTAGAAGAAGAGATTTCAACTAAAAAGAAAAAAGAAAAAGAAAAAGAAATTGTCTTCGCAGGATGTGATACACGTAGAAGAACACGAGAGAGTGAACATGTACAAGAATAGAATGAAATCTATTTGTAGCGGAAATAAAGAGAGAAATTTTTGTTATGGGGGCACGAGAGAGTTGACAAATTCATTCGAAGGGGGAAAAACTATGAAAAAAGAAAAAAATAGGTTGGAAGAAACAAGTGTCTATAAAAAAATACGAGCAAAACAATTCGCCTAGACAAAAATAGACAGACACGTAGAGTGTCTGACGGGGGATGAGAATGGATGAAAAACACCAAGCCCAAGACAAGGGAGGACGAATCTCCTAATGAGACCAACAATCATCGTGAGTGAGATTAGATTACGTTTTTTTACGGCTAAAGAAACGATATTGTGCAACGAAGGTATAAATCTATAAAAGACAGAAATGGCTAGCAAGAAAATGTAAATTCACGAGTTTCTCTACGAGCTCTCGGGGGTGGGGGGGCTACCTTCTCGATCAGCTCGATACACGCGAGCAGATCCATTCCGAAGTCAATAAATTGCCAGACGATACCCTCTTTCTTATACTCCTCTTGCTCAAGGACAAACATGTGATGATTGAAGAACTGTTGCAGCTTTTCGTTGGTGAAGTTGATACACAGTTGCTCGAAACCGTTATACTGAAGGAATGAAATGAAACGTACGATTTTTGGCAATTGAACAGACATTTGACAGTTCCACGGCGACCGATATTCAATGATCGTCGGAGATTAAACTGAAATTTCCAAACACCGAACACGCAGATTCGTGTTCTTCCCTTCGTAAGTAAAAGTAAAGTGAAAAGTAATATTTTCTGTTTTTTTTTTTTTT